TTCAAAACTGTGACTTAATATGCATTATCTGTCGACCCAGTCATCTCAAGCTGAAATGACCTGCAGGCCAGGTGATTAATTAGGGCATTATTTGCGCTACTGAGAGATTGGAAAGCACCTTGGCACCATCATTAGGATCCTGGAGCAGCCACACAAAGAAACACTGAGCAGCTGGAAAAGAAAACAAAGACATCTCCAAAGCCATGAAGTGACCTCCAGGAGGTGCTGGTAAAAAAGCAAAGTGTAGAATGCTAGCCATTTTTCTAAGGGATGGGGAGAGTTAAAAATATATTTCTAAATGTGTTCCAAACAAACAGCGCAAGTATAAATAAAAACAAAAGTAGGGGACACATGGTGGTGTAGCATAGAGTGAGATGCTCTGTGAGACTCAGTCAAATGAGAAGGTGCTGGGTTCATGTCCTGAGACCTCCCTGAGTATGCTGGGCACGTGTATGCCCACAACCCAGGACTGGCTAACGCTGGGGACCCTGTTGGGGTCACTTCTTTCTCTGTGTCTCCCCCTCTCTCTCATGGGAGAAACAAATAAATAAAACTGAAAAACAAGCAAAACCAAAAGTGGTCACGTAAGGGCAAGGAAAGGAAAGGTAGAGCAGAAAGAGATGGCAGGAAGCCTCTGAATATATATTTGACAATTTCCATTTGGAAATAAATGCATGTCTTACATCTTCAAAAATAAAAACATAATTTAAAATTTCTTTAAAATATTCTATTCTTAGGACCCGCAGTTAGCATAATGGCTATGTCGCTGGACTCCCACGTAGTCGACCGTGGTTCGAGTCCCAGACCCAGTGGCTTAAACTCACGCCGGGCGCATGTGCATGCGTGCCCAAGATCCTGAGAGGAGAATGGAGGAGAAGGGATTGTGGCATGGCCATCGCCCTTGGGGGGTGATTTCTCGCTTTCTATCTCTCTGTCTCTCTCTGGCTGGCTGGCGAGTGCACGCGCCCTATAGCAAAAACCTCTCCGAAATAAAATCCTATTCTTTTAACCACTGTGGCCTAGTAGTTAAGGCAGCCAGATCCCACATGGGCTGAACATACAGTTTGAGCCCTGGACCTGGTGACCTGAGAAACACATGTGTGTGCATGTCTAAAATCCTGAAAGGAGGCAGAGATGGAGAAGGGATTGAGTGCACCTACACGCACTCATGTCTCTCAAACAACCAAGTCCAGGTTCAAACTGCATGGTCAGTCATGGGAAATCTAGCTACTGTAAAGCACAAGGCCATGAAGCTGGTTCTATTTGTAGTTTTCTTTTTCTTTTCTTTTTTTTTTTTGAATTATTTTTATTTAACTTTATTTGTTTACTTGTTTGTTGGTTTGTTTAAATGTGACAAGATTGAGAGAGAGAAAGTGAGAAAGCAAGCCACCAGGTCCGGGACTCGAACCACAGTTGGCCATGTGGGAATGGGAGTCCAGTGCCCTTAACCGCCACGCCACCTGCTAGCTCCTCTAGTTTGAGTTTTCTGAGGAATCTCCATATTGTTGTCCATAATGGTTGTACAAATTTACATTCCCACCAACAAAATGCAAGGGTTCTCTTTCACATACATTCTATTACCTTCCAGCCAACTTTGGAATAGCTAATAGAAGAGAGTCTATGTATTTGTTGCCTTTTTATGTTTTCTAAAGATATGGAAGCCCGCTATCCTGGTACAAGCCGAGCTATGATTAAAGCCACTGGGAGGCCCAGGTTGGGTTCCAGGCCCAATCTAAATAGGCTGGGCATAGTGGTCTGAACCTGTGGTCCTACCTAGCTGGAAGGCTAGAAATCACTACATGCTGAGACCTTTACAAAAACACCTCTCTCTCTCCTTCTCACATGTACCCTCTCTCAAAGGAAAGAAAAACAGTATTGAGTAAATCTGATGCTCACTTCAGCAGCCTGTATACTAAACCTGGAATGATAAGGTAAAGATTAACATAGTCCTGAGAAAGGGTGAAAAAGGATGAAATGACTGGGACCAGCAGTTGGCATAATGGCTATGTCACTGGACTCCCACATAGTTGACCGCGGTTCGAGTCCCAGACCCGGTGGCTTAAAACTTACGCCGGGTGCATGTGCGCACATGCCCAAGATCCCGAGAGGAGAATGGAGGAGAAGGGATTGCAGTGTGACCATCCCCCCCCAGGGGGGAGTGATTTCTCGCTTTCTGTCTCTCTCTGTCTGTCTGGCAAGCACACGCACCCTATAGCAAAAACCCCTTAAAAAAAAGAAAAGAAAAGGATGAAATGACTGAAACCATTCAAAAACTTAAAGCCATTGAGAATAGACTTTCTGAACACATGAATTTTGCTAGAAATCAAGAACAAAAAATGTTACTACCGGGACCAACAGGTGGCATGGTAGTTAAGGTACTAGACTCTCACATGACTGACCACAGTTCGAGCCCCAGACCCGGCAGCTTGAAAATCATCCCAGGTATATATGTATGTGTGCCCAAAATCCCAAAAGGAATTGTGGCATGGCCATCACACCCAGGGAAGTGATTTCTCATCCTCTCTCTCTCTCTCTCTCTGTCTCTCTCTCTCTCTGGTGAGTGCATATATCCTGTGGCAAAAACCTAAAAAAAAAAAAAAGTAACTACAAAATCCCCAACTTCTTAGAAAATAAATAATATGTTTCTAAATACTCTGTGGATCAAAGAAGAAATCAAGATGGAGGTTAGAAATATTTTAAACTGAATGAGGAAAAGATATAACTTATCCAAAGTTACCTAATGCACTTAAACAGTACTTAAAATGTAAGGAAAAGGTCATTGAAAACTGTGATTTACGCTTTCATCTCAAGAAGCTAGGAGGAGGACCAGCAATTAGCATAATGGCCATGTTGTTGGACTCCCACGTAGTCAACCACAGTTCAAGTCCCGGACCCGGTAGCTTAAACTCACACCAGGCGCGTGTGTGTGCATGCCCAAAATCCCAAGAGGAGAATGGAGGAGAAGGGATTGCGGCGTGGCCATCCTCCCGGGGGGTGATTTCTCGCTTTCTATCTCTCTGTCTCTCTTTTTGTCTGGCAAGGGCACACACCCTATAGCAAAAACCTCTCAAAAAAAAAAAAAAAAGCTAGGAGGAGAAAATAACAAGCAAGATCTAAGAAAAAATAGCAGGAAGGAAATAATGAAAGTAAGAACAGATTTTTTTTATTAAGAATTATTTTTTGGGAACCAGCAGTTAGCGTAATGGCTATGTCGCTGGATTCCCACGTAGTCAACCGCGGTTCGTGTCCCGGACCCGGTGGCTTAAAACTCACGCCGGGCGCGTGTGCGTGCGTGCCCAAGATCCCGAGAGGAGAATGGAGGAGAAGGGTTTGCGGCGTGACCATCCCCCCTGGGGGGTGA